GTGAGGGTATTTGGAGTTAGGATCTTTAAAGAGATGATTACGGTAAAATGAGACTGGTAGGGTGGGCCCCGGTCTCCTTCCAAGAAGAGGAAGTCTGGACACGCAGACACCAGGGATGTGCACACTGAAGGGTGACTATGTGAAGACGAAACAGGGAGAAGACAGTGTCTGCAAGCCAAGCACAGAGGCCGCAGGAGAAGCCAACCCGGCTGACACCTTGATCTCCAACTTCCAATCTCCAGAATTGTGAGAGACGCATTCCTGTTGTTGAAGGCCCCCCGCCCCTGACCTCCGGTCCAGGGGACTTTGTTACGGCAGCCCAAGCTGACTCAAGCACAAGCTACAGTTCACCGTGTGGTCTGCACCTTTGTTACAGCACTGTGTTCCGGAAGAGTTTGTAGCAATCTTCTCTCCTCGGTAGCACTGTTGCCACACACCCTTGCAGGCCGTACTAGCAAAGTCCTGCTGACTTTTGTTGGTATTTCTCTACCTATCAGTGAAAGCTTTTCATGTTTATTACTCATGTGTTCTTACTCTAATATCAACTGACTGTGGCTTTTGCCTATTTTTCTATTGGGGTATTCTACTTTTCTTACTGATTTGTAGGAGTACTTTTTATAGTAAATATATTGAATCTTACACCATACATTTGGCAAATACTTTTTCAGTTTCTTGTTTCCTGTTAATTTTGTTTATATTTTGGAATGGGAAAGTTTAAGTTTGTTATATGTTCAAATTTATTTCTTTGATTGCACTTATATTTAGAAAATCCCCTTTCCATCCGTGAATCAGATAAATGTGTAACTAAATCTTCTTCAATTCTTTAATGATTCTATATTTTATTTTTTACTTTATTTTTTAATCTTTAACCCAGGGTTTATTTTGGTGTCTGGCATGGGGCTGGGATGTTTTTATTCCCCCAAATATCCAAATTTTGCCATGTAATTTTTTGAAAATAATCCACTCACATTCCATCAATTTGAAATGTATCCTTTTTCATACCTTACTAGTTATGTACCCGAGTCTGATTCTTAGTTACCATTGTGTTTCATTGCTCTCTTTCATTCCCTCATCAGTCCCACTATCGGTTTTACCACACTTACTATACAGTTGCTGTACTAATCATACATTTTAATCTCTGATAGGGCAAATTTCTCTTCATCACTTCTCATTTAAGATTTTTTCCTATCCATTCTTGCCTGTGATTCTCAGTGAATTTTTAAGTGTTTTGTCAAATTGTCCCAATGATCTCATTGAGACTTTGGTTGTCATTGCATGAAGTCTACCAGTCAAGTGTAAAGGCTCTTTCTTCCAGTCTTTCTCTCTAACAGAGAAGTGGACTGTGTCTCACTTTGTTCAGATCTACTTGTTGTATACTTCTCAAAACTTTTAGATTTAGTCTTAATCATTTTTACTGTTCTTGTGAGGAGGGTTGATAAATCTGTTATTTTTTGTCACTATTGTGAATGAGACCTTTTTCCATAACGATTCTCAATTATTTATCACTGAATCAAAGAGAAACCATTAATTTTTGGATATAACTCAGAAAATTGCCACTTTGTTCAGTTCTCTTATTAACTCAAACAGGTTTCCCATTGATTCTTTAAGATTTTATTTTTTTCCTTTTTCTCCCCAAAGCCCCCCGGTACATAGTTGTATATTCTTAGTTGTGGGTCCTTCTAGTTGTGGCATGTGGGACACCGCCTCAGCGTGGCTTGATGAGTGGTGCCATGGCCGCACCCAGGATTCGAACCAACGAAACACTGGGCCGCCTGCAGCGGAGCACGAGAACTTAACCACTCGGCCATGGGGCCAGCCCCCCATTGATTCTTATTAAGACTTTCGTCAGATTTTCATCATTCTAAGCCAACATGATTATCTGGAATCTTCCTTCTCATTAGAAGTGCTTTTTATTTCTCCTTCGTGTTGAGTAGTAGAAGTGATATCACTTGCTTGGCTCATTTTTAAAGAAAAATACATGATTCTTTCTTAATTAGCAAAATAGAATGTCCGTACTCAAGCTTTCTGCAGAGAACATAACTTTGACCTGGCTACTCCTCAACAATAGTCCAAACTGTGAGAGAAACAACGGCAACGGTGGGTGGTGTGAAGGACAGGGATGGATTCTCTGGTAGTTTGGATTTTCTTCCAGGATCAAACTAGATCGTCAGAGAGCCACATGTTGGCTCCGCACTGCGTTGGCTCTGCAGAATTGCCCTCATTGACTTGTGCTATCGTTCCCGCCTTGACTTACATTGGCAGTACAAAATCAGCTGAAAAATCTACCACAATTATTTTTAAAGATTTTTTTGAGGTCATTGTCCATGTGATCACTTAGTAACCTAAATATAAAGAAAGACCTATGAGAGAAATATCTTCAATACTAGATTCCCAGAAAAAGCAGTTGGCGTAACTCACTGATGTTAGATCTCGGGGCCCTGGTCCTCCAAACTACGCAGTCTCAAGTGTCAGCCTCACTAAAAGTGGTCCAAACAGGGCTTTGGTAGCCCAGGGTTTGGGTTATTTCATTGAAGTCTGGGCCTTGATGTCTAAGGAGACAGAGTCATATTAAAACCAGGCTTGTTCAATACAGAAAATAGAAACAAATATGAGTGAAAAAAGTCAGAGGAAGGTCTCTCCACCAGAGGGAAAGAAGCGATGAGGTGTATGAATCAGTGGTAAAAGCCCATTCATGTGAAAACAAAAGATATATACTCGTACACCTTAAATCCGGAATCTCTGCATTGAGAAGTGTTTTATGACTACAGCTTTGGGTTCTAGGAAAGATTATTGCCAGAAATAGCCATATGAAAATGTTCTGAATTTATTATTAAAAATAATGTCAAGAACATCATCCACTGTTGTGTGTCTCAAACTTAAGGTCCCAGATGAAAAGCTTCATTCAGGAATTTAGTAACAAGAAGGCTTTGATTCCTTTTTCCAATTCCCGTGCTTGCTCCTTTTGGGTAATGACGTCTGGGGATTATTGTTTCCCTTTTCTTCCCCCACCTCCCTCTTGCCGAGAAGCTTAGAACACAATTTGCCACTCAATCAGAGCAGTGATACGAGCCCTCAGAGTTGGCATATTTATTTCATGTTCCCAATTTCCCCTTACTAGTTTGTTAACCTTATAATTGATACTTTTTGTAGGGCCTTCCAGATCTTTTTGGGAAAAAGGCCAAGTATGTATGGTATTTTGTTTGCTGTTGTTACATGGTTGTTTCTAATGGCTCAGTTGAGGTCTGTTATTAAGGTCAGGGTAGGCATCCAATGGAAGCTGCTGGGGGAGTCCCATCCTGCAGTTAACTAAGACAGAGATTCCAGCTCAACTGGATAAATGAAGAAGCCAGTCCAGCAGAGGACTGGAGAATCCATGCCTCATCTAAGGGAGGTAACTGCCCGCACCCCTAAGATTAGATTGGTTTCTTGAGGTAATGCAAGCCCGGATTGCCATATTGTGCAATTCCTCAAGAAAAGTTAGAATTCAAGATCTTAAAAGGAATCCTGGTTTTTGACATGTTGACAACTAGTTTAAATTCTGTAAAACACTCTAGACCAACAGAAGATAGGATGGTGGCTGACAGGGAATAGGGGGAGAAATGGGGAGTTGTGGTTCAGTGGCTACAACGTTATAGCTATACAGGATGAACAAGTTCTAGAAATCTGCTATACAACATAGTGCCTAGAGTTAACAATGCAGTGTTGTACACTTAAAAATTTGGTAAGAGAGGGGCTGGCCCCGTGGCCGAGTGGTTAAGTTCGCGCGCTCCGCTGCAGGCGGCCCAGTGTTTTGTTGGTTTGAATCCTGGGCGCGGACATGACACTGCTCATCAAGCCACGCTGAGGCGGTGTCCCACATGCCACAACTAGAAGGACCCACAACGAAGAATATATAACTATGTACTGGGGGACTTTGGGGAGAAAAAATTTAAAAAATCTTTGAAAAAAAAAAAATTCTTTTAAAAAAAAAATTTGGTAAGAGAACAGATCTCATGTTAAGTGACCTTCCCGTAAAAAACAAAAGAGAAAGAAACACACAAGGAAACTGCTAGAGGTGATAGCTATGTTTATTACCTTGATGTGATAATGGCATCATGGGTGTATGCACATATCCAAATTCATCAAATTACATAATTATGTATATGCAGTTATTTGTATATATATGCATATGTGTGTGTATATATATATATAAAACCACAAAATCTCTAGACTAAGTCACTACCTGTGATCCAGGCATGGGTCTTTGGGCTCTGAGAGACCTGAGAGCAGGTCTCAGAAACCCAGTTACCAGGGAGGATAAAGCAGAAACTTTGTCACCAGGGAGTTGATGTCATAATGGCACTGAGGATCACACTGACTTAAACCTGAATAATAAAGCTCTGAGAAAGCAGAAGTTTTGAGCTCTGTCTCAGATTCTGTGAGTATGGATTGGTAGAAAGAGGCCTGGACTTGAAATCTGGAAACATGGCCTTGGTCTCAACTCTGCCACCAACAAAGCCCACTGCGGGTTGGCGAGCCCATGGAATTCCCCAAGGCCGCCGTAGCACTCTCCACACAGGGAGGAGGTTACATATGATATGCAAATCTTCCAATTCTTTATTTCCAAAAGTTTCTTATCAGAAACTTGAAAGATACATGAGCATGAGAAAAGAAGTTTCCACTCGTCTTTAAATCATGTAATTCTACGGAAGAATTGTCTAGGGTTCCAATGTTGCTGCTAACACTAGGTGAGCTGGATTTTCGGCAGTGAGCAGAAAAAAAATCAAAGATTGAAAAATAGGGAACAGCTGGACTTCCAATCTCCAGCAAAGGAAATTCTTCCCTATCAACAAAAACATGGTCGCAATATGCTTTAGTGCTTTGACTTCATTTTGAAACGAATAAATTAATATTCATAATTTACAAGCAGGTGCCATTTAGACATACATTCTCATTATACATCATCTTTTATGTAAATAAAAAATCACAAGCTATAATAAACAGCTGACTGTTTACAATGCTTGCAGAATACATGATTATTTTAATTCTGCAATGACTGTTTCGAGTTTTTCCTTAAGGGCGCCACAAAATTCCCCCACCTTTTCTTCTTTTTTGTAAAACTGAAAGGTTGGGATGCAAGAGATCTCGAGGTCTTTCACCAGCTCCTCGCAGTCATCTGCATCCACTTCCAGGAACACCACATCGTCGTGTTTCACAGACAGGGAACGGAAAAGAGGCTTGATGGTCCTGCAAGGTCCACACCACATGGCAGAGAAGTCCACGGCCACCAGCCTCTCCCCAGCCTCCTGGAGCGCCAGCTTGAAGTCCTCCTTGCTCAGGATCACTTTCACCATGTCAGCCTCCAGGAGCTCCACTGTTGTTTCTGCCGGCTTCGGGATGTCCCCTTCTACCAGCTGAGTGGTTCCTTCTGAGGACTTGGAGGTGTCGCCCTCCTTGGGCTGGATGGTTCCTTCTGAGGACTTGGGGGTGTCACCCTCCTTGGGCCGGATGGTTCCTTCTGAGGACTTGGGGGTGTTGCCCTCCTTGGGCCGGATGGTTCCTTCTGAGGACTTGGGGGTGTCGCCCTCCTTGGGCTGGATGGTTCCTTCTGAGGACTCGGGAGTGTTGCCCTGCTTGGGCAGGATGGTTTTTGCTGAGAACTTGGGGATGTTGCTCTGCTTTCTCAGAATGGATTTTGCTGGCGAATTGGGGATGTTACCCTGCTTTAATGGGATGGTTTTTGCTGGTGAATTGGGGGTGTTACCCTGCTTGGGTGGGACGGTTTTTCCTGGGGAGTTGGGGATGTCAGCCTGCTTGGGTGAGATGGTTTTTGCTCGGGAATTGGGGGTGTCAGCCTGCATCGTTTTTGCTGGGGAATTGGGAGTGTCAGCCTGCTTGGGTGGGATGGGTTTTGCTTGGGAATTGGGGGTGTCAGCCTGCATGGTTCTTGCTGGGGAATTGGGAGTGTCAGCCTGCGTGGTTTTTGCTGGGGAATTGGGAGTGTCAGCCTGCTTGGGCAGGATGGTTTTTGCTTGGGAATTGGGGGTGTCAGCCTGCATGGTTTTTGCTGAGGTATTGGGGGTGTCAGCCTGCTTGGGTGTAATGCTTTTTGCTGAAGAACTGAGGGTGTCACTTTCCTTGGGCTGCATGGTTTTTGCTGAGGAATTGGAGATGTCACCACTCTGCTCTGGCAGGAACGTGTCTGGGGGCTGTGGGACTTCGAACTCCTCTGCAGGCTTGTGTTGTATGTTGCCGGCCTCATGGACAAAGGCCTTCTCCTGAGTGTGTGCTGAGTCCAAGAACTCTGGGACCAGGAGAGTCATATGGCTGGACAGAACCTGTAACAACGGACTTTCTGAACAAAAAAGTAAATAAATAAAAATGCAAAAGAAGAAACAAAAAAAAATTCTGATCATATACTCCAAGGAACACTAGTATCATTCTTAGAGCTCAAGAATGTAGTCTTACGAATGATGTATTAATTTGAATAATCACATTCAACAGAAGACAAGCAGCATATGATTACTTGTATCCTTTATGTAGGGTTTTGTTTAACTACAGTTTTCTGCTTAATTTCACACTGCTGCCTACTCCCTAATCACCTGGGTCCCTAAGGTGACCTTCTCCTCTCCCCCTTACCATTAGCATCACCTTCATTTGTTCCTTCTTGTTTGTCTGGCCTCACTTCTGGCTCTTCTGGGGCTCCAGGTTTATCATTTTCCATTTCCAGTTCCTTGTCTATATCCACTCCTACTTTACAGACGCCTCATAGTGAAGACAAGGCCGTACTCTCCAGCTTTTGCCAACCTAACATCATGAAATGAGTAACAACTTATATTCGAGTAGTACTTACAGCTGGTTTTCCCTCTCTACTCACAACAGTACTATCTGAGAGTTTCATGACAGCTTTGGTTACAGTGGCCCACTGTGTGTGAGGCTGTGCCCCGTGCCTGATATGCATTCACAGGCATTATTTCCTATAACTCAACAAACCACTGAGGTAAGTACCATTATGATCCCCACTTTACAAATGAGAAAATTGACCCTTACAGAAGTTATGTAACTCATTCAAGGTCACAAAGCTAGTATGTGGGGCAGGTTCCAAGCCCCCACTCTGAATACTACACTGTGCTGTACTGTTTACCGAACACCCTGTCCAGGATGGGTAACTTGGAACCAACTTTCTTACAATCTCCCTCTGGGATTCTCCAGCTGCAGCCTTCTCTTTATGACTCACCCGTCACCATCTACTAAGTATCTCCTCCTCCTCTGCAAAGTCCTGCCCAGCTGACAGATGACCTGTTTGAGCTATTTGACCAGGAGTAGATTGTGACACAGAGGAATTCCCTAACCAAGAGGAAGAAGTGAAAACCATCACTCCTTCCATTCTGGTAGATGGGGAACCAAAAGAACAGACACGTGCGTCCTGGCCTCCCCTCTCCAGGTTGAAACTTTAACATGCATGCAGGTTAACTGTGTCCAAAAGAAAGCTGAAAGCAGAGGAATATTTGACTCATGCTCCATCTGGAAGGCCAAGAAGCGCCCATGTCCACATGGATTCCATGTCAGCGTAGCCGGCATCGGCCACTGGCATGGGCCCCTGGCAGTGGATGTAACTGGATTCTTGGGCTTAGGGCTGGCTCCTGGCCTCACAGCCTACCGTGTGGAAGCCAGGGATCCAGAAGTCTTGCACACCCCAGAGTGGGGATGTGAGTGTTTTGAGAAGACCAGTGAACCAGTGGAAGCCTCAAGGAAGAACAAAGAAGCCACCGGGCAGGGGGATCTGTGACCAGAAGCATGGGCTCTCAGTGGGTACAGCACAGTGTCCCAACTCCTAGATGGGATCAGCAGTCCTCAGTAGTCCTCAGTTGAGGGACAAGCCAGACGAGCCACTCCACGTGGGAAACCAGCAAGAGGCAGAGGCCCAGCCACAACTAGTCCACATAGCCCTGTGCGCGCACATGTTGTGGAGAAAGAGAGGATTGAGAAAGACTGAGCTGCTCTCAGGAGGAAGTGTTCTTCAGGCTGAAATTTCACCAAGAGGCAGATTTAATTTTGTGTGCCTGCTCCTCGCCACATCCCTTTGAGATAAGGCTCACGAGGAAGAGTGGGTCCATTATAGGAAAATTTTAAAGCCACGCTCCATCTGAGCATCTTAGTAAATGTGAGGAAACCTGTGACTCTGTTACATTTATACTTGGAGATCTGAGTTGTGTTTTAGGTTTGGCAATGAGTTGTTCCCATTATTTTTACTCTTCATTCTGCAATTCAGATGGATTCCAAGCAACTTGAAATAGAGATATCTCTCAAAAACTTTCATTCAACGTCATAAAATGTATTTTTTCCTTCAGCACAAGCTCGTCCCCAAATTGCTTACGAACCTTTATGTCAGTCATGGTTCAGTCAGGGAAATGAGCAATCAGCTATTTTAGGCATAGAAAAATTTAGGTAAGTATGAAATAGCTGGACAGGCCACCTCTGGGCTAGGTGTCCGGGAATGATTCCCAGAAAAATGAGCAAGGCTGCTGACCTGGCCTGCCAGGGGTGCTGCCACCTCCATAATCTCAGGAAGGTAGGGAATCAGAAAGTCACTGCTAGAATTGTTGGCTTCAAGAACTTTCTGCTATGGCTACAGTCCAGGGGGAGTCAGCCACCGCTACAACTCCCTCAGCTCAGAGCTAGGGATGAACACTGGCGTCTGCTCCAGTGTCTCTACCACCTGGCTGCACAGAAAGGGGCAAAGAGGCAAGATAGTTGGTCTCTTTCTCACGCAAGTTCATTTATTGTTAGAATCTAATTGGCATCCAGAATCTCAGCTACAGAGGAGTCAAGAAAAAGTGGTTTTGAGTTTTCCAGCCTCTGCAACGCAGGGAAGCACACTAGAAGTATAAATGTTGAGTGGAAATTCATTTCTACCACACACAGTGACAACATGACCATCTAGTTTTTGACACATTATGCTGGCATCATTTTTTGGTTTTATAGTTACAAAAATAATACACATTCACAATCGAAAAATTAGAAAACACAGATGTAAAAAGAAAATAAAAATTACCCATAGTGCCAATCTTCAGGTATCACCACTATTAATATTGTGACGTATATTTTTTGTCTTCTATTCATATGTAGATATTCTCAAATGAGATAATTTTCTAAAAGATACTATATTGTAATCTTTCTCACTTATGAATACATTCTGAAGATTTTCCGTGTCAGTCAAAACATGTTCACCTAGAACAGGGGTCAGCTTTTTTTCCCTTGTTCTGTAAAGGGCTGGAGCATGGCTATCTCAGACTACAGACCACATGGTCTCATCACAGCTGCTCGCCTCTGCTGTTGTGGTGCGCCAGCCGCTGTTGTGGGTTGAACTGTGTCCTCCCGATATTCATATGCTGCAGTCGCAACCCCCAGGCCCTCAGAATGTGAAACTTTTTTGGAAATAGGGTCATTGCGGACGTAATTAGTTAAGATGAGGTCATACTGGAGTAGTGTGGGCCACTGGTCCAACATTATGAAAAAGGGACATTTGGACACAGACACACGTAGAGGGAAGATGGTGTGAAGACGCAGGAGAAGACAGCCGTCTACGAGCCAAAGAGAGAGGCATGGGACAGATCCCTCCCTCACAGTCCTGAGAAGGAACCAATACTCCTGACCCCTTGATTTTGGACTTTTAACCCCCAGAGCTGTGAGACAATACATTTCTGTCATTTAAGCCACCCAGTCTATGGTGCTTTGTTGTGCCAGCTGTAGCAAACTAACATAGCAGCCATACCAACGGGCATGGCTGTGTCCTAATAAAACTTGACAAATAACAATGGCAAGTAATAGGATATATTGGAATATATGAGGAAGCCATTTGGTGTAAACCTAATTCGGCCTGACCTTGTCTTTCCAAAAGGGCCTGACCGAGGCCGTTGAGCTGCTTTAGAGATTTCCTATGGCAAAAGCAAAGGCCCTTGAGATAAAGGTGCAACCTCCCTCCCCGTCCCAACATTGGCATCTCCTTAAGGATTAAGCATCTTTCCTTAGGCTGGAAACTGATTGTTGCGCTCACCTGTGACCGCCCAGCTGGAGACAATAGACTTGCCTCCTGCTACGCCCACCAAGATAGCAGACCCACTACCTGCTGTGTCCATCAAGTGCTGTGCCGACAGGGCAATCTTGTGACTGTTGTGGGAGGGACATTTCAATCATATGTGAAACACCCTCTTTGAGGGTATATAACCACCCTGTGTACCCCACTTCTTTGGAGTGCTCTGTTCCTTTGTGGAAAGACTCTCCCAGGTTATAATCCTAAGATTTAAGCTCAAAATAAACTCACCCAAATTTTCATTTATAGATTGGTTATGGATTATTTTCATTGACAAACTTTATTTACAAAAGTAGGCAGCCAGCCAGTGGGCCGTAGTTGGCTGATCTCTGACCAAAAAAATAATTTTTAGTGACTGATCGACATTCCTTTGAATGAACAAAGTACAATTTATCTAAATAATTTTCTACTGATGGACATAAAAGTTGTTTTTGATTTTTTGCTCTTATAAGCAATAAACATAATAATGTTTATGGATAAATCTTTTCACATAGTCCTTGTTTTCTTAGAATGAGATTCTAGAAATGGAATCCTTAGATCAATTAGTAGACATTTTAAAGATTTTTCTGTTCCAATTTGTAACTATCAGCAGGGTATGAAAGTGCAATTTGATGGACAAAAGAAGTTATGTCATTAGTATTGTAGGGGAGGAAGACATTTCCTCTTCCCAAATGTGGGTTTGTCTGGCTGGCGAACGAATTAAATTCACATGAGACAGAATAGCAAGAGAAAATTAAACAAAGCTTTATGAGGACCATGGCCCGGGGCCTTTCTTCCCAAAGGAAGAAAGAGCACCGAAGAAGTGGGGTGCACAGAGTGGTTATATACCCCCCCCAAACAGGATATTTCACATATGATTGAAATGTCTCTCCCACAATAGTCACAAGATTGCCCTGTCGGCACATCACTTGATGGACACAGCAGGTAGTGGTCTGCTGTCTCAGTGGGCGTAGCAGGAGGCAAGTCTATTGTCTTGAGCTGGGCAGTCACAGGTGAGCGCAGCAACCAGTTCGTAGCCTAAGAAAAGATGCTTAATCCTTAAAGAAATGCCAACTTTGGGAGGGGGAGGGAAATCAGTTACAGGAGGTTACCAGACAAGTACAATAAAATGCAGATTTAAGTCCTTGCCTTTGGCATTGATTAAGAGTTTCTAGAGAGAAGGTCATCTGCTTTCTTCTTCCTGGTACAGAGAGGGAGGCACCTTTTACAGATAGAGATTTACCTTACAAATGTAAATGTGTCCTAACAAAGGGCAAGTTCCATTCCTCAGAGCCTCCTTCCCTGTCCCAGTTTATCAAAAGCAATCAGCCTCAAATAATCCTGATGCCAAAGAGACATATCTTGGGGTGGCCAATTTCAGCTCCCTACAGTATCTTAATTTGCATTTCCTTATTAAATTGACTTTTTTGGCATATTTATCATCTATTTATATTTCTTCCTTTGCAAATTGACATTTCATGGTCTTTGCATGATAGTTCTTGAAGGGGAGACATCTCCACATATATTTATTTCTTTAACTTTTGGCCAATTATCGTCATAGTTTTTTTTGTTTCTCTTTTAATTTTGTGTATTGCATTTTTCAAATACTATAGAGATGCTTTCATTTTTGTGTAGTTAAATCCATCAATTTTGTCTTTTGTGATTTTCACTCCTGGTGACATATTGGTATATAAACTTCTGAATTCCTGATTCTGAAACTGCCTCCCGCACAACCCCAAATCAATAATAATAACAATAAAAATAATAGTGCTAAAACTTTCAGGATTTAACTCAGTGACTCTGATACATGCATCAAAGTGCCCAGTAATTTACTATAGAATAATAAAAATGTTTTCCTTGTAAAGATTCATACTCTTTTGGGTACTCAGCGTAATGGATAGGT